TATACCTACAATGTACCAATAAAAGAATTTAAAATAAAAAAAAATTGTAATTTAAAAAAATGTATAACTGATATTTTGTAACGGGAAGAAAAGGTCTAAAAGACCAGGGGAATTGGGAGGGGTAGGGGAAGGGAAAACAGGGAAAGGAAGAAATATGAAAAGAGGAAAAAAAATGGAAATAAGGTCTTTGCAAATAGAGAAGGGTGGAGGAGGTGAAGGAAGGGCAAGGGAAGTGGAAAAAAAATAAGAACCAAGATACTCATGTAAAGGTACAAGATCCCAATGATGAATGTAACTGTATTTTATACCTAAAATGTACCCCAATAAACTTAATGGGAAAAAAAAAAGTTCAAACAGGACAAAGAAGAAAAAAAATCACTCCTAGTCCCACTATTTGGAAACATTTAGTGAACATCATTTCATTTATCTCTCTGCTTATTTATGGACTGCAATTATGAAATAAATGAAGAGAAACAGAATGTTATTTAAGATATGAAGTATACTGTGAGAGAGTGAGTAGGGAGGCTGGGATGAGGGAGGGAGAGATGGCCAGAAAGAGCCTGGCAGTATTTCCAGGGAGCTAGAGGGCTACAGAGGGAGGGTACAGACATTGTTTCTCATCAGGCTGTTGCTGTTGTCACCTCCTAGCATGCAGACTTGTAAGCATTCTCATCTTCCTCAGTCCCTGCCCTTTGTGATGCATCAGAAATACAGTACATGTATTTTGTTTTTTGGTGTTTTTTTTTGGTACCAGGGATCAAACTCGGGTCCTTGTGGTTGCACAGCAGTACATGTATTTTGCCCTGGCTGGCTTCTTTCTTTCTTCCATTTATTTCCTTCTTCTTTCCTTCCTTTCCTTTGTTCTTTCCTCTTTTCTTTTCAATACTGGAGATTGAACCAAGACCTTTGCATGGAGCTACATCCTTATCCCTTCTTAAATAATTTTTTTGACTCAGTTTCCATAAGTTGCCAAGTTGTTGGGGTTGGGGGGAACTTGCACTTCTTTCTCAGTCTTCCTGGTAGCTGGTATTACAAGCATGTGCCACCCAACCTGACCAGAATATTATAAAATACTCTAGTTGTAGGATTACTTATATTTGTTGAGAAGTCAGTTTTTATAGGTTCTCAACCTACTTTTTAATCTTTGTATTTGAGCTCCTAGGATAACCCCCAGGGAGCATTAGTTCCATGGGGGGCTTGGTCTGAACAGTTCAGGCCTGGAAGGTCTACTTTGGCTCCCAGCCTGGAAATCATTTTGTATTAGAAACGAAAGAAAGAATGGCCCCACGAGAAGTGGCAATAAACCACCACATTTTAGAGCTTGACTGGGTTTTAGACCATTATCTAGTCTGACACATCTTGATGAGTACTGGATAGGGGATTTGGGTTTTTTTTTTTTCCGAGGGATAGGGTTTAATGGCTTTAAGATCTGCATTGCTTGCTACAGCTGCTTCTGTTGCTTATCATATTGATTCCTCCACTTCTGCCTGTTTTGTTCTTTTTTGGTAACTTTATTTTGATACCATTTCTAACATTATTGAAAAGTTGCCATAGTAGTTTAAGAACTCTTGTCTTTTACCCAGATGTACCAATTGTTTATATTTTCCCCATTGGCTGTATCATTTTCTTTTCATGCAATATATTTGCATATTATGT